CATTTGCTGAGGCTGCCACAGCTGGTTCCCCCACCCAAAAGCCAGTGACAAGTAATCTCTCAAATGAGTCACCAAGAACACATGCTCAAACCCTTCCTCTACCCCTTGTGGTTTACATTAACTAAGCAGCTCGAAAATGGCACAATCTACATACTACCTCCTTTAATTAAAGTTTAAAAATCAAAGAGTTAAAATTCCCCTATTATATTACTGGAGGTCAAAATGAAACAATTTTTTTTAATCCAATAAAAAGCATCCTTGGAGCCCTCCCTGGTGGCGCAACTCATGCACTTCCGCATGAGTTCCATCCCCGCCTGCCCCAGAGGAGATCTACATGGCGTGGCAGACCTCTCCTGACCCACCTGCTGCTCCCCTCAGCAGTGTACTGTGTTGATCTGCCTGCTCTGCTCCCCACTCTGTCTCTGGTGAATCCTCTCACCCTCCATATCTCTGGCCTGTACCCCAGTTCTGTATAAATAAATAAATAAATCTTAAAAAAAAAAAGCATCCTTGATGGCACATGGGTGATTTGGTGATTACAACTGAAATGGAAAAATGCACAAAATGATGTAAAAATAAATTATATATTTTAAAGTATCCTTATTAAAGAAAAATTAGAAAAAAAGACAAAAACAATCAGGCAGGAAAACAAGAAAAAGTAAAAATTAGCCATAAGATGTTCCACTCAAAACAGCACCTATCAATATTGTTTCATTTTCTTCCAAATTCCCCCCAAGCAGGTTTTGTGTAGTTATGATCACATGGCTTACACTCCTCCTATCTGCAACTGGTGTCATTTAAATTATATCTTAAGCATTCCCCCATGTTTTTTTCTTAACCTTGTATAACAGCAGAGAGTAGATGGTACAAAAATTTTTAAATTAAGCCAAGTCAACAAATACTTACCTTTCTTTTTCTCCCCCAGATTTGTCCAAAACTGAGAACTTCCAAAAGTCCCTGGAGCCACTGGGATTAAATTATGATACATAAAAGATACCTAGACACATAGGAAGTGTCAATTGACTTTCAAGTGAAAACAGAATATGTACTATAGTCATCTCTGGAAAGATTCAAAAGACATTACATTCAGCCTCTATTCCCAGTAATTTTTTTATATTACTGAGAAGATAAAATGCATTTAGACCCAACAACATAATTCAGCATGCAATCATGCTGATTTTTCAAGAGCTGGACATGTTTTATTCATTTCTTTTGCCCCTAGTATGAAGAACAATCCCAGCACATTATAGATACTCAACAAATGTGTGTTGTACAGAAATGAAGTACAGATTGGGAGTTTTACTTATTTAGAGGTAGGAACCATCATTCTGAGCTGTGGTTGTTAGGCAAAGCAGGCAGCATGGATATGGCAGTTTGATTTTGGAAGTAATCTGCAGAAAGAGTTGAACTGCAGAAGCTTTGGAATACTCTGAAAATGAAGGACATAAAGAAAAAGTATTTATACAGTCCTAACTTATTTAAGAATTTGATGTTTCTATACAACCAACATTGAAACCACTGCTGTGCACATTAACTACTCATGGGAAACACAATGTACAACACATGATACTGCTTTCAAAAAAAAAAAAAGTACTAACACAAAATACTACGACATTGCTTGACATCACAAACAAGGCCTAATTCTCAGGAAGCTTTCTGTGTCAGGACAACTGGCAAAGTGGGAATAAATTAAGGTTTTAGATCTCCACATAAAGTACCATAGCAGGTACTGTCCCTTGCTAAACTAGATGTGAAAGAATGTGCTGACCAAAACTTTCTTTCTAATCTCTTGGTATTCAGTGAACCTATTTGCATATACTGTTAAGCATTCAAAAGGTCCACAGATTTGAAATCTGCATTCAGCTCTCACAATATCACATTCACATCACCTGATTATGAACATAACTTACAAAAGAGAACCCAACTTCATAAATAGGCTATCATTCAGCTAACTCATACATTCTAACTTCATTCACACACATATTTTCCCTTCCTTTACTCCACTTGTGCCCTGAAAAATTCAAAGAATTTATGGAGAAGAAATTTTCTCATATCACATTTCTAACAGCTGCTAGTTCAAGGTACATAAATCCATAGCTTCTTCAATTACATTACAGGGGCATCTCAGAAAGTGTGTTTAATAAAAATCTGTTTCTTTCAAAAGAATTAATGTAAGCCTACCCTCTTGGGCCACCTTAAGAACAAGTTACATAGGACTTAGGGGTTGAGTGTATGATAATTTTGTCAGAATATTTGAATTCAATTATGATTAAGTACCTCTAATAGCTACCCACTCAATTTCCCTGGCCTGAAGAACTCAAGGACAAATGCCTACCAACAAGTCATTTTGGGAATGAACAGCTGATTTAAAGAATTGCATGCTTCAGAGGCAGGTGGTCTTTGTTTTTCTAAAAACACACATACAGACATGGCCTAACAATGACAATATCTGTGAGATAATGCAAAAGAACATAAAAGAACAGGCCATTCCTTTTAAAAAAAAAAAAAAAAAATTTCAAGGCTCCAAAGAAATGTAAGTGGAAATTTATAAGATTTTTTCAAAAATTCCTTGGAAATTTTGAGTTACAATTTTTGTTAGGCTTCAGCACAAACTGTCTTATCCCAAAAAATAAAAACTGCTATTTTAATTCTAAATGAAGTACTTCTAAGACATCAAAGGATTTGAAAACTCAACAGTAATTACTGCACAATCATTCAAAAGCAACATATGGCACTAATTTAACAAGAGTATGTACTATATACAAACTACATAGCTTTGAACATTTAACAATCTGGTTAAACTGACCTATAACTCTACTGTCAGATGAAATAATACCAACAATCTAAAACTGAACACAAGTGGTTGAAGATTTCCAAATTTAAGACACATGGGGTGTCACTAAGTCATAAATCTTTCTAAATCACTTGTTTCTTCATCCATTAAATGAGAAAAGTAATAGTTACAACCTTGACTTATCAGTGCTAAATACATAATAAATTCTTATAATAGAGCTTAGCAAAGAGTGACTAATAAATGTTTAATTATACCAGAAACTAAATTTTTTACCAATAATACTTAAAAGTAATGCCAATTGAAAAGAACCATAAAAAATAAAAGAGACACAGCTATCAAGATCCATGGAAGAAACTTTTTCAAGTAATTACAGTATGCTTAGAATCTAAATTTAAAAAAGGCTCCCACTAAAATATAGTTATATCTTTTCAAAGTGGATTGAACTCATTTTGATTCTTTGCCATTAGTCCTATTTTGCAAAATGCAGTTCTTCCTAAATTCCATAGATAATCCCATTCCTTAATATCAAGACAGCCACAAAACTAGTCCCTTTGAGAAGGAAATCAAAGATCATGGTATGTGAAGTTCTAGCCTCTACCAGGTTTTTTTTAACAAACCACCAAATTGAAACCCATTCCTGAACTAAATTGCCAAATGTTTCTGCAATAAAAACTGCAAACTTTTCATGTGAACGGACCTTTTCAACAATAGAGAGTTGTTCCATTCTGTGAATAGGACAGTGTCCCTGTGACACAAAGCTGGGAGCTGGACATTCCTGACACCCTTGTTCCCTGGCTAGCCTGCCATCACGTCTCTCTCCCAAACGCCTGCTTGTGGAAATCACTCTCAGGCAAAGTATATGGACAACTATCCCCTCAAATTTGTCCTCATCACAGTCCTGTTTCCACAGCTTCTGGCCCAGCCCCTCACTTTTCACTACACCATTATGAACTTGCCACTAGAATGAGCATGAAATACAGGAGTGCTTTGTCTTCCTAAGCCGTCCATCCCTACTCAGTCACCTCGTGTTTCAAGTTGTCTTTACTGGAAAGCATCACAGGATGACTGGTGGCAACTAAGCCAAACTACAAATTGACCTAAGAACTAGAAAAGCACCTGGATGTGTAGTGTTTCTATGTACGTGAGTTTTGAGTCTCTCTACTACTTAGAATGCAGACTTAGAAAACCGAACTTGCCTTTGGGTGTTTTCCCACCTGGGCATAGGTTAATAAAACCCGCGTTGTAAAGTTGTTGTGAGGAGTACAAGAGATAATGATTCCCAAGTACCTAGTACATACCCATTAATAGAAGTGACTGATTTAGGTCTTCTGTCCAACAGCTAGGGGACACCCGTTATCTAACGATCTAGTGGGAAAGACTGAAAAAAAAAAAAAACCTCCCAAGTTGGGCAAAACGGCCCAGCTGCTACTTCGCGGTATGGGTTTGCAGGGTTTCCTAGGCCGGGCTGGAGACAAACAAGGTACTTGATTGAAATCTGTGCCGTTTTACTTCCACGAAAGGAAAGTTGGGTTTGCCCAGTTCTGCTCTTTTGTTTACAGCAAGAG